TGCTACGCTGACATCAACGCATATTTCATTTTCATTGTAGGCACATGTTCCCGGATTAAACGTTTAGTGCAATTGTGATTTGTGACAATATGAATTGTTGGCGAATGATACTTGGCACGAGAGCTCCTTTCCCGAAATTGATCTTGAAAACCCCCGAATAAGGTTTAGCATGTTACATGTTGCTTCTTGCCTTTTGAACGTAATAAAAAAATTTAAAATAAAAATTTGTCAGGGCGGTGGTGAACTTTCTTAATTAGAATCAAAAAACTAATGAAGCTAGGTCAGCTGAGATGTCTTTTTTTACTGCGGAAGTGAATGCTAATGATATTATTTTTCGTTTCTGCTGTCAGATTTTGTATTACCTCTTGGCTTGTCACACGCAAACATTTCGCTGACTCATTCGTCATTTCCTTGCTGAATTCCGCGGCATAAATCTCCACCTTTTTCACATAAAGCACGCGATGTCGGAACAAGTGGTCGGTCGGGTCGGGCCACTCGCACTGGACTGGTTGTGAACTCTCGTGGCGGGTGCTTCAATTTCACACGCGCTAATGTCGCTGCGCTCTCGTGTCGCGCGCGCTAACGTCGTGGCGCTCTACTGTCAGCGCTCTAATGTCGGCGCTCTTGTGTCGTCCGCTCTAGTGTTATACAGCCCCGCCGAACATGTCGCTCTTCACGCCTCTTATGAGAAAGCGCAGCTTACTCTCCTCGGTGCGGGGATCGTTACCCCGCACATTCATTATCAATCTAACGAAAGAAGGCGACGAGATGATGAACAGTGAACTAATGAGTAAAGGTTTAATCGGCGAACTTGAGCCATACAAAATAAATAACGAGCGTTGAGACAGCAGGAAAGGCGGGTGGCAATTTGGTGGCGCAACAGCAAGCGAGAGCGAGACTGACTCGGCAAGGTCACCGGCAGTTTCTTATCTAGTGTGCGTCGACATGGCGAAAATTTGGCCCAAAAGATTCGAGCACGGAGCGTTCGGGGTGAGAATGAGCAGCCACTTTCGAGAAAAAGACACGTGGCAAAAATGATAAAAGTTACGCCCCGAGTAAGAAGAAACTCGAGTTCTCTAACATTCATTATCCGAGCGCTGCTCGTTCGGCCCTGAGCATGGAAGTATGATGACGCTTGATGACAACATGCTGATTGCGCCTGATGACGTATTTTTATGGTCATCTTTTTGTCACAATGCCGACGGACGCCGCTTCTTTTTTACGTACTTTGAAAAGTGAGGTCGTCATAGAGGAATAGGACCACTTCTAGAACGACCCTAAGGACGAGGGTCGGCTTTGAGCGTATGATTTAGCACCGCGGGCCACTCAATAGCATCTTTATGAACGTTTACTCCGATTTGTCACCCAATGGGAGAAGCAAGCTTTGACTTTAAAAATATGCGGAACGCAAGACGATTTTCAATGACCGGATTGCCAATAGGAACGCTGGCGGTCACAATTCTTGTGCTTCAAGCAATGAAACAGGTTAGTAAGCAGGTAAGCTTAATTTATACAGATAAAAAACTCATCTGAAAATAATAAAAGAAATGCTGTTAAGAATACAACATTCGCAACCAACAGTCCACTTGTAGTCAGCCGAGTGGACTGTTCGAGTCAGCATATAAGCCGTCGCGTGTCACGGAATCCCTGGGTTTCGGAGCTGGCAGGAACGAGGCCGTGCGATCACACAAACCTTTCATGTTGCAGGTGAGTGATTTTCCATCTGGCCCTTTTCGTTCTGTTGCTAGTTTCCAGTCAGCTGCACCCAATCACCTAGCTTTGATAGCGAGCACTAGGAATAAGGACTTTCATGACATAGTGGGCAATAGACGTAATTGAAACTGCAGGAAAAAATTGCTAATTGTGTTCTTGTTGTTGTTGTTGAGTGGCGACATAAGATATAATCGTGGGCCTGCATCTTAGGAACAAATGGAACCCCTACAATATGTATCCACTGAACTGTAACACGGTCAAAGAAGTATCTTCGCAAAGTTAAATGGTACTGAAAGCAAACAAACGGAATTTCAAAACAGATGTCTTCAACATCTCAGATGTTTAAGATAAGAAACGAAAGCTGGAAGCAAGACTAGACAACATTGAAAATCGGAGCCGCAGTGAAACAGGGTGTTTTTTTGGCATACCGGACGAACCATTGCAAGAGTCATGGGAGGAGTCAGAAACTCTTGTTAGATGCATATGTTAAGGTAATCTACGGATTTGTGTCATAGAGTAATATACACAAGGTAAAGAGCGGACACTGCCATAGGCCCCAGCGGCCCAGATAGAGCAGCGACAACTAGCGCTCTTAGCGGACGGTATGAAACACAATCTGGTTCCGGTTCCGGTCAAGTTAGTTTCGGTTTCGGTTTGGGCATTTTTGTTTCGGTTTTTTGGTACCCTTCTCCTTCTCTTTTTCTCTCTTTCTTTCCTTCTCGCCTCCCTCCTCGCTAGGCTCTCGGGAGCTCCTTGGCTCCGGAGCCGATGATTCTTTTTTTTGTTGTTTTTATGTTATAAGTTTTGCAATATACGATATAAGTTTTGCAAAATGTGTAATGTGTCGAATAAAAGTTCAACTTATTGAACACATTGAAGTACATAATCGCCACATTGACTCCTGGCTGGTGGAGCATTTTGGGAGGTTTTGGGGTCAACAACAGTGAGTGGTTTGAAAACATTTTATTGGACCACATTCATATGTACATTATTTACTTCAGAAGCTCTGTATGTTTTATAAGAAATAGATAATCACAAAAATAAATGAGTATGAAGGAGTTCGGCATATCGTACACTTCGTAATAGATTTTTAGCGGAGTCAAGTTTACAAAAGCTTTCCACAGGGAACATGCTGAATGATCCATTCACCTTCACGCCGACTCGGGCACGGTAAGTAAGTGCAGAAATAAACAAGACATCGCTATCATTACCAGGCGAAGCAGACACCGGATAGTACAAATTCCAAATTACCGGCTAATATAAAACACACGAAATGGCATAGCCTGAAACTCGCTGCGGGTGAGCCATTACAAAAAAAAAACAAAAAAAAACAATGAGAATTCTATTTGGAATCTGACAAGATTCAACTATAGATATTCAACCATGATTCAACGTCCCTAAACATTCCCCGAAATACATTTGTTCAGGACAGGAGTATTACTTCAGAAAAAAAAAAACGTCCAAAAAATATAGACGGGTACAGAAGTGGACACATTTTCTTCCAAACATCTATGCCTCTATAAACTATTTTCTATAGAAATTCTGCAGAAAGTGGATAAATATTTGTGTAAGGGGGCCGTGATACACATTTCCTGGAAATAAAGAAAACACATGTTTGGAGTGCAAGCTACACTGCCCAATTAATAAGCAATTTCTGTTTTTGATTTGGCAACCGCCTCTGTTAATACGCTATTAAGCTATTAACAGTTAAACTTATCAAGTTGCTTACTAGCAACCGAAGAGTGTAACCGAACTTTGTCCAAGTTCCGGTTAAGGAACCGAACATGCCAACACAAGCGTATTCGGCAAAACATTTTTAAAAACCTTTTGTGACACTCCTCTGAGCAAAGGCTGAAACCACCCAGCTCTGAGAGTGTGTGATACAAGGCAGCACACACTCCTCGAACATGCGCTACACTCTCTATTACGGCAAGAAAGTGATTTTCTAAATTCTGAATAAAGTTAAAGGCAGCCTGTGATGGTACTACTAGGTTTCCGAAGAGTTTCCCAGGCACGTGGTATGCTTTAAGCATAAGAAAATACTGGTGAGGCCTGGTCAAGTTGTCAGACTCATCCTTTAGCAGCTTAGAACAGCCACAGCTGGGGGTTGTCTGTTCAAGGAAAAGTTTGATCAAATAGCCTCCAACGTAGTAAGTGCACGAGTCGTCAATTATATTAGACCTGATGTCTGATGCCAGCTCAGAAATATCTTCTAGTGGCGGGAAGTTATCAACTGGAAAACATTCCACATTGTCTGCAATGGAACTTCCATGGTGCGAAAATATTGGCAACTCCTTGAACAGGTCAGCCTTTTCATCCTCTACATTTCCATTGTTAGAGAGTCTGAACAGTTTTTTTATCCCGATGTGTTTCAGTCCCGAGGTGAACTGATTCACATTTGGGTTTGTATTGCAGCCCAGCATTTGTCTTATTGCCCCAAAAATGTTCTCCAGTGGGTCTTGCTGCAGGCGTCGAGTAAGTAAGAATTTAAAGTCATAGCTGTTTGAAAGCTCATCCCAGAGCATGAGGACACTCCTTATTGTAACTTGCCACCCTACGGTGGTTTGTGGCTGCCTCCTACTTTGGAACTTCCATGTTGAAATCCATGCGAGTTGTTGGTGAAGGAAATCGAGTATCTCAGATTCTCCTTTCAAAATTGCATGACGCAACTTCTGCCCCGTCTTCTTGAATTGCGAGCTATTTAAACAATCAAAAAGTCTGTCCATTCTATCACAAAAATAGGCTGTAGCCATGGCTGCCTCAGGAAGCTCCTTGGCATAAACAAGGGATAGAATGGCAAGACAGACTGAGGCACTCAGGACCTGTGTGGCACGCTTTATATTCATGTTACTGAAAGGTTTTTGAAAAATGTGCCTCTCAGTAAGTTTTGGAGCCAATTGCAACCTCATCTCATGAGTAGAACGATAAAGTTCAACAATATGGGACCATTCAATGACCTCATCCCCAATGCAAAGTTTGTGGGCTTGGAGATTGTTTCTTGTTGTTTTGATGAGGTGCGGAACATCAAAGATAAAGTAAACACGTTCGTTGTCGACTTCAAAAAATGGCTTATCAGCAGATACACCAAGTTGGTTGGCTAAGCTTACGTTTGAAGCCCCCTGATCACAGACCACGGCCTTCACAGTGAAGTCAACAGTCTTAAGCTCTCGAATGAGAGAAATCAGGAGGCTCCGGATAACAGAAGACGGTGTTGAAGTGTGCCCAACAGCGTATGCGAGGGGCTGAACCCACCTCCTGGAAATTCCAGAGAGCACAACAACCAGGGCTCTATCTGCAATGGTCGAGGTTCGTTCAACACCGTCATCTGTAAATCCATGGATAATGTCGTGTGCAGGGTCGTATGTCAAGTTCTTCTTCAAAACAATATCATCAAAAATCAAGGTGCAGACACGATCACGTGCATTCCAAGACCGCGTTTGAGATTCGATGGAGGACATGACACCAGGTATAATACCAGGAGTCATTTTTACGTTCGACAGCCACCTACGCAGTGAACGCTGAGTGGGAAGCGTTAAATGTAACGATAGAAAACGGTATGCCTGTGGGCCATGAAAGTTCAGATGCAAAGCAAACTTCTTGAGCCACAGTGGAAACCGTTTTCCTCGTCCCTTGCGCCCTAATTTTACATGTGACGAGATAAGTCCGAAAACCTCGTCTGTCACAAACGGACGCACCATTTCAAGTGCTTCGGCAGCTGTTTGAGGCATTTGCTTCTGTTGCTTGCGCAGTCTTGATATTGTCTTTCTGTAACTGGAAACCTTTGCTTGTAGGCGTTTTATGACGTCCCTGGGCCTCCTTGAGAGCTTGGCGGAAGCAGGTGTTGAACGACCAGAGCCTGCCAAAACAATACCGAAAGCACATAAGTCAGGCTGCACAAAAATGATAAAAGTAGAACCCGACAGAAACGATACCGCCAAATACCGACCACTTACCCATGCTGCAATATGTGCCCCCTTCCCGCCCCCCCCCCCCCCCCCACCACTTTCGAAACGTTTGCGAAATAAACAAAGCACGTATCAATGTCCAACTCCAGACTTAAAAACCCACCCACCTAACATAAATGCTCATCCGCTTCAGCTGCTTCTCCAAGCACACCAATGTAAAAGGTGAAGCTCGACACGTGCACGGGCCTCCAAAGTGGTGACCCCCCTTCCCCCCAACCTTTGGCTGTTCTGCAATTTTGCTTTCGGGCATAAGAGGCATACATCTCTGCGTTTTTCATGATTATCTCCAAATTGTGAGTGGGCATTTGCTCCGCATGTTCTGTTACCACTGTTTATACACAAATGGCTGCTATCAGAAAAAAAAAATTAAACTAGCTTTTAGTCTTTCAGCTGCAATAATTTCACCACAAAAACTGTATTAACATAAATTGATGAATCTTTCAAATATTGAATAATCGCGTAGTCAATCACTACATTCAACAGGGTCATCCAAAATGAGAACTGTATGTAACAGGATTGGCAAATTACTACAGTAAGCACAGATTACTAGGAAACCACCCCTTTTCAGAGCATTTCACGGTGCCACACTTCAAAGCTTATGTTCCTCGTCACCTAGAGCCCTGTAGTGATGTTCCAAGTTATTAAGGCCAGCACAAAAATGAAGTGACAAATAATGTCACCTAATTTGAAGCAATGTGCATACTAAACGCAGAGGTACTTAACACAATTTTGCAGTGCTTAAATCTGTAGAGAAGTCAATTTATACTCACAGGTTCCAGATGATTCAGAATAGCCAACAGACGAAGATGGAGTGCTGTGGTCCAAAAGCTGGCCAGGAGAGCTGGCCATCCCCATTTGCTCTGGAAAATGTGTCACTGTTAAATACGAATGTTTGCATAAACCCAATTTGTGTAGGAGATTTATTTTACCACAGGCCGCTATGGAATGTGACGCGCTGGTACCCTCCAGTGAAATACCACAGGGGCTTGTCGCCATCGGTTGTTCTGAAAAACGGTTGCTTGTCAGATATGAGCAGCTGTTCTAAAAGAAATGCTCTCACCATGAGCAGCTGCCGAAGGTGACGTTCCACTGCCTTCCATTCGAACATCCCCGGGGCTTGGTTCCGCCATCGGCTTTTCTAAAAAGGGCTTCCTTGTCAGATATGAGCCGCTCATTTAAAATAAATAATCTCACCAGAAGCTGCTGTGGGATGCGACGTTCTGCTTCCCTCCAATGGAACGTCACAGGGACATGTCGCCACCGGTTCTTCTGACAAATGTTTGGTTGTCAGCTATGAGCAGCTGTTTTAAAAGAAATGATCTCACCATGAACAGCTGCCAAAGGTGACGTTCCGCTGCTTTCCATTGGAACATTCCCTGGGCTTGGTGCCGCCATCGGCCCTTCTGAACGACATTTGCTTGTCAGGTATGAGCCCCTGTTTTAAAAATAAATGATCTCACCACGAGCAGCTGTTGAAGGTGACATTCCACTGCCCTCCAAGGGAACATTACCGGGGCTTGGTGCCGCCAGCGGTTGTTCTGAAAAACGGTTGCTTGTCAGATATGAGCAGCTGTTTTAAAAGAAATGATCTCACCATGAGCAGCTGCCAAAGTTGACGTTCCACTGCCCTCCAATCGAACATCCCTGGGGCTTGGTTCCGCCATCGGCTTTTCTGAAAAGGGCTTCCTTGTCAGATATGAGCCGCTCATTTAAAATAAATAATCTCACCAGAAGCTGCTGTGGGATGCGACGTTCTGCTTCCCTCCAATGGAACGTCACAGGGACATGTCGCCACCGGTTCTTCTGACAAATGTTTGGTTGTCAGCTATGAGCAGCTGTTTTAAAAGAAATGATCTCACCATGAACAGCTGCCAAGGGTGACGTTCCACTGCTTTCCATTGGAACATTCCCTGGGCTTGGTGCCGCCATCGGCGCTTCTGAACGACATTTGCTTGTCAGGTATGAGCCCCTGTTTTAAAATAAATGATCTCACCACGAGCAGCTGTTGAAGGTGACATTCCACTGCCCTCCAAGGGAACACTACCGGGGCTTGGTGCCGCCAGCGGTTGTTCTGAAAAACGGTTGCTTGTCAGATATGAGCAGCAGTTTTAAAAGAAATGATCTCACTATGAGCAGCTGCCAAAGGTGACGTTCCACTACCCTCCAATGGAACATTCCCGGGGCTAGGTGCTACCATCGGTCCTTGTGAAAGATGTTTGCTTGTCAGGTATGAGCCCCTGTTTTAAAATAAATGATCTCACCATGAGCAGCTGTTGAAGGCGACGTTCTGCTGCCCTCCAATCGAACATCCCCGGGGCTTGGTTCCGCTATTGGCTTTTCTGAAAAGGGCTTCCTTGTCAGATATGAGCCGCCAATTAAAAATAAATAATCTCACCATAAACTGCTGTGGGATGCGACATTCTGTTTCCCTCCAATGGAACGTCACAGGGGCATGTTGTTGCCACCGGTTCTTCTGAAAAATTTTGGCTTCTCAGATATGAATACCTGCTTATAAAGCTTCTGATGGAGAATTCCTGCTACAGGCGAATGATAGGTTAGTAGTGTTACCTTTCAAAGGAACAGAAAATATTCAGCACTCTGAAAGGGCATTGAAATCCCTTAGTGATGAAAATTAATGTTGAGCAATATTAATCAATGGCGAAACACAGGATCCGGCGGGTCTTGAAAAGGCACTTAGGAATCTCGGAATATCTTAAATTTTAACGGCCCGGTATGCTAATGTATGAGAACATAACAGCATGGGCAACTAAAGCTAACCTTGTAAACATGAGTGTCAGGAAGATGACTCAGACGGCATGAGTCCTCTTGTCGAATTGGATATGAACAGGGGAACGTTGACCTGCCTTATCTTTCATTTATATCACTATTGTATGCTACAAACCTAGGATGCCCTGTAAGAAGTCATACTGCACTGGCAGAACTGCCCTTCTTGATTGGAGGACACAAATTACTGTATTTCAGTGCAGCTGACCTTGTGCTTTAAAACAATTTTCCAACAAACTGGGACGGATATTGGTTAATGGGCAACAGTATGCGCAGGGACATTACAGGGATAATGTACAAAAATGCTAAATGAATTAGATAAAATATTTAAGCACAAACTAATAATAAAAACTAATTAAATCAGATTAAAACTTTTGAGACTGTCAAGCATCGTTGACAGCATGCTGGCAGCTGGCATCAGTGACGTAGAGTTGGTGCTGCCTAAAAGCAAAATATAACAGAACTCCGTACAGACTGCAAGTAAAGATTATGTTACCTTGGGCTGTTACAGATGGCCTAAGCATTTGCGGCCGAACCGTAGGGATAGCCGTTTTGGTCAGCCTTGTCTTCCCAGGATCCAAAAAGTCCTTGGCTGTGAAATGCTCACTACACAGGCGATACCCCTCATAGAGCTCCTTGGCTGTCTTTCCTAGGAGCTCAGGACGTCTGGCGTACTGTAGCCATGCTTTTGACCTGCAGAACATTGTATATACCACCAAGGTTACACATACTGTAAGGGTCAAATAAAGTCCAAATATATGAGCCTCAATTGTTTTTAATGTTTCACTGCCGTTTGGTATGGCACCTCTCAGCAAAGTGTTCACGTTCTGAAGAGTTTGTTTTTCTTCTTCATGCTACTGTACAGTGCAATACAGCTAAACAAACAGATTGCATACCCACCAGGGTATGCAATCAATTTAGGCCCGAGGCAAGATAACCTTAAAATGCTGAAAGATATTGGTGTCCATAAACCAAAGTGACATGGAAGAAATCGTTTTTGCTATAGTTTGTTGCAACCTAAGACCGAAGGGTGAGGGTAAGACGGGCCGGGCAGGAGGGAGCAGACGGAACGCTGGTGAAGAAAGGGGAAACCTCCTTCTCTCCTTAGCGTTTCGTGTTCCGTCTGCTTCCTCCTCCCCGGCCCGTCTTACCCTCGCCCTTCGTTCTTAGGTTGCAACGGACCATAGTTCTCATTTCAAAATGTTATGCTTCGATCAAATGTTGTAAGGACTGCCTTAGAATCTATACGTACCTTGGGTCACGTGGAATTCGAAAAAACTTGACATGTGGCTTCTTTGTTTTCCCATTGTTGGCACACCAGACCACGCAGCAGTAACTTCCGTAGGACATAATCTGGGCCAGCGGGGGAGGGAGAGTTTAACATCTACTGAAGCCTAGCCAATGGCGCGTTCCTTTAGTTCAACGGAAGGTAGCACAATAGCGGCTGGTGAAAAAATAAACTGATGGAGATTTAAACAATGTCACAAGATATTGCCATGACGCAATGTTACAATAAACCCATGACACGTATTAACACAGACGGGTGAAAGAAATATTGTGAAGTTTGTGAAGTTTACGCAATCTTCATGCATCATAATCGAACGCAGTGTCTAGAGTGCCATGCCACAGCACTCCAACCAAGTGTTCAAGTGACGTCTGACTGGTTTTACCCAACGTTCGAATGTCATCCTTAAGAGTAAAACAGGAATTTAAGCATAGTACAGCAGTACGGCCAAAATAAGTAAGACTAATCTACCTCTACTGTTTCTGGTAAATTGGCCGTCAATATTTTGAATTTTGCTTTCTTACATAGAAAATAATGTCAGCGAACCATAGACCTAAATTTCGAGCTCCATTTGGTGATGTAGCGATGTAGTGGGAACCATGTTTGAATAGTCCTCCGTACATTCTCAGAGTGTCCGAAAGTTCCATGGATGTCCTATCCTGGATGTCCCGTGGACGTCCATAGGATATATATGCTGCTTGGGAACTTTATTAAATATCTAAATTTGATACTGCGTCTCGCAGATTTTTCCCCCGAAATTCTATGCATGTGTTTGTCGTCGTAACTGCAGCATACTGCAGCTCGTATGGCGGTACACACAAGTCATGTAGCTCGCTTGAGCGACGTTCGCTGGTTCGCTTCTTTTGCACGTACTTTATGTGATAAATCAAAGCAGCGACGCGCCATTGAAAGAATGCATGTCAAAATATCAATATGACTCAATGGACACCTTGCCCCGAATTCGTCGCACTGCGAACGACTGTCGACCCAGCTTTAGTCAGTGAATTAACTTCAATCTATGACGGCATAAGTCCTCTCAACAGCAATCCACAGATGTCTGATGGCACTTGAACACGCATGAACAAAGCTCTGCCCGAGGGGCGTCGGACGGCAACCCAGACTCAGCAAATTCAAAAGCCAGCTTTACAACACAGTCGAGAGACAAATGAGCAAAACGACTTACCTTTTGTTTAAAAATCTAGGTCCAGGCAGCCCGACGGAAACACGAGAAGCTCAAGCCATATCAAGCCGCTCAGCTCTACAAACTCACGCCGAGCATGAGAGCACGCGGCGGTCATTCGTCACTTTGTTTCAAGCAAAGTCGACCGAACACGCTGTAGCATAAAACGGAGAAGAACGGCACGGACGGCACGGACGGTACGGCACGGACGGTACGGCACGGACGAATGAAGCACGGACTGCACGGACGAGCAGAGGTGACGGCGTGCAAGCAGACAGGCCATGGCAGGCGCCATTCATCACGTGGTTTTTGTGACGTATTTGATTAACACTATTTAGTCGTTTTAAGTACTTTAAAAAACTCTAAAGCATAAAAATTTAGAAAAAAAATACTTTTCAGAGAGAAAGCTGTAATTAATATTAACCAAATTACGGAAAAGCGCCACGTAGCGGAGGGTATGAATCCTACTATCTGGGCCGCGAATCGGCTTTAGTGTCCTCTCTTTACGTTTACTATATTACTCTATGTTTGTGTCACCTCGACACAAGGGCCCACAGTTTAGGTACTTTCAAAGAACATAGTTTACGGCCGATTATAGGAAGCTTTCAAAAAATGAAAGAACGTAACAGCATCATACGCAACGCCTTTAAATAAAAAACAGACTGCTTACAGCGTTTCCAAGGATTTCAGTACACTTGTCAGAGAAAAACGGATTAAGCTATGGGACTATTCTAAAGAAAAAGAAAACAAGATAAGAAAAACAAAGTATATCTTACCTACGACAAGCTTGTTATCAACGGAGACACGTACGTCTGGGATTTCGAACAAAGCATGCCTGTACTCGTTCGTAAAAAGGCTACACTGATTCAGCAAGATTGATGCAGTGCGAGAAATACCTATCAAAATGCAGGTCTCTAAGATTAGACGCTGTGTTATTACTCGTGAACTTTCGGGGCATAACAAATAAAGAGGACGAGATCTTACCTCTAGTCGAAAGTATCAAACCCAATGTTATTAGGGAACAAAGACAGGGCTATATGACGTCCTTGGTTTCTAATTCCATTAGTTTTTCCCCTTGATTATACTATATATATACCGCAAAGTCAAAAACGGACATGGAGTTGGTGTGTGTTTGCTAAGTTCATCGGACTGGAGTAGCAGTGAACCAGTTTTTTCCGAAAACAACCCTGAGTCTGTCTGATGTCGTGCACTTTTACCTAAGGGGACCTCTTTAGTTTTTGGTACATTTGAACGCCCCCAGATAGTGATGCCTACTTGATAGACATACTAGGTGACTTGTTGACAACAATTTAAGATAGCGTATTCTTGGCAGGAGGCTTAAATGAGCCAGGATTCAATTGGTCTGATAAAGTTCTTGCTGCAGATGGGCCCCGCGCTTACTGAATGTTTGCAGACATGATTGGTGTATTTGCATTCGAACAATATGTTAAACATCCGACGCGAGGGAATTCTTTCTAGCATTTGATTCTATGCAATTTCCCTGCTGTTGTATTCGAGGTCACTATACTTCCCGGCATACGTGATCACTGCGCGGTTGTCGCCTAACTCTCGGAGCCCGGAACGCGAAAGCAAGTGGAGTGTTCACGGCAAGTATTTTTCTACGACAAATGATATTACGACGTGATCGCTGCAGAGTTTGAATCCTATTTTTATACATTTAGTCGTCCATCAGAGAATGGTTACGTCGAAACTATATGGCATGCTTTTAGAAATAAAGTACTAGATTTTGCAGAGGTGTATATTCTCTCGAATAAAATAAGGAAGCGTAAATAAATAAACCTTGGTTTAATGTAGAAATTCGCAGATTTATAGGTAAAGCGAGACTTGCGTACAAAACGCTTCCCGGAAGTTGGTGAGTTCGAACTGAGCAAAAATGCAAAGTAATCAATAAGCTTCTCAAATGACAAATGAAACT